CTCAACATATCCTTAACATGACCTCAACAAATGCTTAGCATAGCCTCAACATAACCTTAAGATTTCCTTAACTGATTCTTAACGTAACCTCAACATATCCTTAACATAACCTCAACATAACCTCAACAAATCCTTAACATAACCTCAACATATTTTCAACATAACCTCAACATATCCTTAACATAACCTCAACATATCCTCAACATAACCTCAACATATCCTGACCTCAACATAACCTCAACTTATCCTTAACATAACCTCAACATACCCTTAACATAACCTCAACATATCCTTAACATAACCTCAATATATCCTCAACATAACCTCAACTTATCCTTAACATAACCTCAACATACCCTTAACATAACCTCAACATATCCTTAACATAACCTCAACATATCCTTAACATAACCGCAACTTATCCTTAACATAACCTCAACATATCCTTAACATAACCTCAACATATCCTTAACATAACCTCAACATACTCTTAACATAACAAAATGTAACAGGATAAGCAGGTAATATGTGCGTGCGCGCGCACACACGCACACACACACACACACACACACACACACCTCTCTTCAGTCGCTCCATGGCGCTTTTACTGCCGGCATATGTGGGTCTGATCTCCTTGCCCAGCTCCTCTATGATGGCCAGCAGCTCCGCATATTTACTCTGAGGAACCTGACCACCATTCGGACCCTTACACAACACAACACAACACAACACAACACAACACAACACACCATATTATAAATATTAAACATTGGGGCATAAATGGGAGAGTTTGAAAAGAGATTTAAACCCCTGCTGCTCGATCATCACAGATTAATTATTATTGTCAGGTTATTAAAAATCTAAAAAAATATTAGTGTGTGTGTGTGTGTGTACCTGAGGGAAGCCCAGTGAAGGAGGACCGAAGTCATTCAGGATGGGTTTATAAGACTGAACTGATGCCATGGAGGACGCAGAGGAGGGTTTCCTGCACACACACATTGAGAGCTGAGTGAGTTTGTCTTTATCTTCACAGTGCGCTGATATTTTAATGTGAGATTAGCATCGCGAGCATAACTCCCCATAAAACACTTAAAGGCACAGAACACTCATCTCCTCTCCCTGCACTTCCACACCCTGCCTGAGAATGCTGAACGCCTCAAACCCTTGACTCCAGTGCTTTTCTTTTAATAAATCTTTCATTTTATTTTATTACAGAGAAAATCTTTTCATTTTGGGGTAAACGGTCATTAAAAATGAGCTTTACAGTTAAACATGAGCAGTGTTTACTGTGCTAGCGCACTGTTACTGGATCTGTGCAGGTTAATCCACTGAAACACTGTGTTCTGGTCATCTTCATGCTACTCTTCTCTGATGATGTCTGTTTGCCTAGATTGGGGCCACTGTGTGGATCACTAAATTCAGATCACTAGATTCGGGCCACGAGATTCATACCACACAACACGGGGACCTCTAGATTTGGGCCAATAGATTGGATCACTTGATTCAGGCCACTAGATTTTGATCACTAGATGTGGACCACTCAATTCGGTCCACTAGATTTAGGCCGTTAGATTCAGACCACAAGATTGGGGCAACTAAATGTAGCCCACAAGATTCGGATCACTAAATTTGGGCCACTAGATTCGGTTTAGGGTAGACAGTAATTGAATAATTTAAATAATTCTCGTTAACTTCCGGCCACAGCTGTTTTCATTGGATAATCATAAAGACCGCGTGTGATCCGTCATTGCCCATATATGGTTCGGCCCGGTCTGGACCTGTGGTTCTGGATCGTGTGCGGCTGTGGCTCTGCAGCTTCAGGCGGGATCTGCGCTTCCTCCAGCAGCCGCCAGGGGTCCGCAGAGCCGCTCTCCGTCTGAGCGATCAATCAGCAGCCCGGAGACAATCATGGAGGAAACGGCACGGGCTGATCTGTTCTCTATAGCCCGATCCCGCGGCCTCCACGCGGAGCCAGAGCCGCCGAGCGCCCAGCGGAGCCCCGAGCCGCGGTGCAGGAGCGGCGGAAGCGCGTGTTTCACCACGGTGATCATGGCGGAGCACCGGAGAGGATGCGCCCCGTAAATCCGCGCGGGAGAAACTGCTGTCTGTCGGTCGGTCCCCCAGGTGCTGTTTCTCTCCGCGATACACTAAACACGGCTGATCCCCGCCACACCGGAGCCCCGAAACCTCCCGGTGGTGTTCCCGGTGACCGGTGCTGGACTCACCTGAAGATCAGCGACCGGAGGAAGGAGAGAGTCCCGGAAATCAGCGGCGCGTCCCGCTTCTGCTCCCGCACTTTTGTTTACAGCGGAGCAGCGCCGGCAAATATGGCCGCGTCACAACTCATGACACCCACACTACTGTCCATCATCATCATCATCATCATCATCACACTCACAGCAGCGCGCGCACACACACCCGTCCCGTGATAAACGCCACACACACACACACACACACACACACACACACACACACACACACACACCTCACTACTATTAAACAGATGATTTTGGCGGGATGGGGAGGATTTCACTGATGAGTGATGATCAATTTTATTCTTAATCCTCACTCTGACTGACTGAAGGAAACCCCGAGCCCTGTCTGAGCTCTTACTACAGTTACTAGTCCTGCAGTGTGCGGACGTGTCTAAAATCACCACAACAGTAGAGAAGTGAACAACTGAAGGCTGAACACATGCAGAGCGCCAATATTGAGCCGCCACACACACACACACACACACACACACACACACACACACGCCCCGTGATAAACACACTACACACCGCACCAAAAAATATACCTGAAATACTGCACACACACACACACACACACACACACACACACACACACTGCTGAGGGAACACCCGAACATTCAGCGCGTGTCTTCAGGATGAACGCATTTGAGGGCTGATATGACCCGGATCTGCTTTACTGTGGAGGATCAGCGGAGGAGGATCGTGTCTGACCTGAGGGCCGCAATAGTGTACACAGACAGCAGCAGGGTCCATCAGGCTGTTAACTAGAAGATCTCATGTTTTAATTCCACATCAGACAGGAAGAGCTCCATCATGTGTGATTAATCTGCATTATATTATTATAATATGCTCTTTAACTGTATTAAACGAGCGTCTAATAACTAAAACCACCTTAATTAAATCAAAATGACCCCTGATTAATTAAGAGACTGAGTCGAAAAGAAAATGAAGCATAAATACAGCTCTGCTGAACGCTGCACTCTGATTGGCTGCTGCTCACGCTCGGGTGTTTGGTTATTGTCAGATAAAGGCACAGCTAAAGTAGTTCCGGCAGGTTTAGAGCGCGTATCACTCCGCTGAATGATGAGAGTTATTACAGCTACATCAGTCAGAATCACAGCAGCAGCAGCAGCAGATGTGGAGGACACGAGTGCTACAGTGTGGGAACTGCAGTCTGAGCAGAGTAATGAACATTCCACTTCACATTATTGCCTAATAACCCAATAGCTCATCATCAACTCTAGCAGTGTTTCTCAACCATGTTCCTGGAGGAGCAGCAGGTCTGCACATTAGCCAGGTCTCCTTCACCAAACACACCTGATTTAGCTCATTAGCAGACGGTGACCTGTAATGAGTCTCACACACAAAGAAGACATCCGAAACATGCAGTGCTGGTGCTCCTCCAGGAGCATGGTTGAGAAACACTGGTTTACAGCATGTCAAGATGAGAACGAGTCATTCTGAGCAGTGCTCACTGAAGTCCATCAGCGAGTATTAATAAACATGTTCAGTTAATGAGGGAAAGCTTGAGTTCTGATCATGAACACTCGTGTTAAAGAAACTACAGCAGCCGTCTCAAACTCAAACAAGCTCTGCATAGTTCATCTCCAACCACCTCCATCTCCACCACACAGCTGCTTAACAGTCTCTAGTAGTGTTGAACATCTCGATTGGTTGACCAGCTTTAGGAGTGGGGAAAACTGCAGGAATCCAGTTTAAGAGCCATGAGCTAAAGGGTCAGTTCCCCCACACATGACAATAGCGTCTTCATTTACTCACCCTTTAACTCTCACACCACCTTTATTTCTTCTGCTGAACACCAAATACGATGTTTTGAAGAACGCTGGAAAAGGGTAACCATTGACTTCTACTGTATTTGTTTCACACTATTGAAGTCAATGGTTACAGGCTTGTAACATTTTTAAAGAGACAGTACACTCAAAAATCAATATTTACTCACTTTTGACTCTGACTATTCTGTTTGAAGATGTTAAAAAAAAAAAATGTTGAAAACCGGTAACCATTGACTGCCATAATAGAAAAGCAGACACTATGGTAGTCAATGGTTACAGGTTTCCAGCATTCTTCAAAATATCATCTTCAGTGTTTGACAGAGAAGTGAAGCCTATAACAGTTTAACACACTCTCGGGTGAGTGCATTGTCAGTTATGGATGAACTGTCCCTTTAAAATTCTTCAAATACGCCAGAATTGTTTTTTCACCCTCTAAATATGAAATACGTGATTTATAGACGCATAAACTCCTCCACGTGACGACATCGTGTCTTACAACTTTTTACCTTGCCACAGCCGCATCAGTGTCTGGATGGAAAAGGTTTCAGTAATTTAGGGCGGGGCTAGAAATAATTTAAAGTTGAACTGTCTGTGTTCAAGGAAAAGCTATGAGTAATTTAGGGCGGGGCAATCATTAATTTAGGGTGGAGCTATCAGTAACTTAGGGTGAGGCTATCATTAATTTAGGGCGGAGCAATCATTAATGTAGGGTGGAGCTATCAGTAAATTAGGGTGAGGCTATCATTAATTTAGGGCGGGGCAATCATTAATTTAGGGTGGAGCTATCAGTAACTTAGGGTGAGGCCATCATTAATTTAGGGCGGAGCAATCATTAATTTAGGGACGGAGCTATCAACAATTTAGGGCGGGGCTATCATTAATTTAGAGTGGAGCTATCAGTAATTTAGGGCGGGGCTATTATTAATTTAGGGCAGGGCAATCATCAATTTAGGGTTGAGCTATCAGTAATTTAAGGCGGGACAATCATTAATTTAGGGTGGGGCTATCAGCAATTTAGCGAGGGGCTATCATTCATTTAGGGTGGGGCTATCAGTAATTAATGGTGAGGCAATCAATAATTTAGGGCGGGACAATAATTAATTTAGGGTGGGGCTATTAGTAATTCAGGGTGGAGCTATCAGTGATTTAGGTTGAGGCTATCATTAATTTAGGGCGGAGCAATCATTAATTTAGGGTGGAGCTATCAGTAATTTACGGTGGGCTATCAGTAGTTTAGGGTGGGGCTATCAGTAATTTAGGGAGGGGCTATCAGTAATTTAGGGAGGGGCTATCAGTAATTTAGGGAGGGGCTATCAGTAGTTTAGGGTGGGGCTATCAGTAATTTAGGGAGGGGCTATCAGTAATTTAGGGAGGGGCTATCAGTAGTTTAGGGTGGGGCTATCAGTAATTTAGGGAGGGGCTATCAGTAATTTAGAGAGGGGCTATCAGTAATTTAGGGAGGAGCTATCAGTAATTTAGGGTGGGGCTATCAGTAATTTAGAGAGGGGCTATCAGTAATTTAGGGTGGGGCTATCAGTAATTTAGGGCGGAGCTTTCAGTAATTTAGGGTGGGGCTATCAGTAATTTAGGGCTGAGCTATCAGTAATTTAGGGTGGGGCTATCAGTAATTTAGGGCGGGGCTATCAGTAATTTAGGGAGGGGCTATCAGTAGTTTAGGGTGGGGCTATCAGTAATTTAGGGAGGGGCTATCAGTAATTTAGAGAGGGGCTATCAGTAATTTAGGGAGGGGCTATCAGTAATTTAGGGAGGGGCTATCAGTAATTTAGGG